GGTGTGTGGCGGCTATCTGGGCTGTGCTCTTATCTCCCAAGCCCCTCCAGACCCTCACTACACTGCACTTCTCCCTCCTTCTGTGCTATTTTTTCCCACTGGACTGCAAGACATCCCCTCTGGCAGCACGTCCCAGCCCTCCGACCTTCGGCTGTGAGCAGGCACACAGGCGCTTTTCATCCTGAAGGCTGGCAGATGCAGATCACTTCCTTTTCAGCTCCTCAAGTAGCTCTTCCCTTAGGGCCTTCCGAATCTGGCTCCAGCCAGCAACTAGCTCATCCTTCCAGTCCATGCGGGCTTTGGTTCAAATTTTGAGGATGCTTTTCAGGCCGTGCCTCAAAGCTCCCGCAGGGCAGTGCTGTGGCTAGGATGAGGTGGCCACCCTTGGAAGTGACAAACCCAAGAATGACACAAAGATGGGTTCTGTTGCCATTCCTGATCAAAGCAGTGCTTCGAATACTTGCTCAGATGGCTACTCCGTAAAACCAAAAATGCCCTGTTTCTACATAATTCCAGGCACTTTTGGAAAAAAGGGTAGTTAAGGATTTATAAAGTTTCTTAGTAGACCTTTGTGCCTTGAAGCACAGTGATGTCTTGGAGTTACTGTAGAGATTTCAAAACCACTATTTTAATGTATTTTGGTAAATATACATAAACATGAAAATTCAACATCAAAGAATGTGCATCAAATGCAGTTCTCATTTACATTACAGACTAAAGAGAATTCAGAATAATTTTAGTAACTGGGACATCAATGATGCTACAGCTGAATGAATACAGGACAAAGAATCTTATTTAAAGTTGAACTACATTATTTTAAATTACTTATTTAAGCATCATAATGAAACGTAGTAATAAACATAATTCAATAGAACTTTCTGTAAGCTTTCTTTTCTCTTAAATAGTTTTGTGCCTGTATAGGTATCTAAACAAATGGTTTATACATTCTTGTTATATCACAGAATTAATACAGAACCGTCAATGACTTCCAGCTTAGTCTTTTATATTTCGCATTCATATTGCCATCGCATTTCCATAGCATGCTACAGTGCCAGGAATCTCTCCTTTTAGCTCGTTCCTTTTTCTCCCTGTGTATTCAAGCCTACTTTATTTGCTTTTGACAAATATATCGTTCTGTTTTCAGAAGGCCTTGAAGCTTACATTCCTGAGTTGGAGAGTTATTTCACAAAATACCGTACTACTTTCTTAAAGTGACAAACCTGTGTTTAGTCTTTGGGGTTTTCCATTGTTTTGAGAGTTTTGGTACAAAGCGGGGGGGGAGAAGGAGGATGCGCACGCGTGTACTTATGCAGCGGATCATCAAGAAGTACTTTATGTAGTCTCCTTTTAAGAGCATCTGATGTGTTTGTGTGCTTTGTTTGGCATATCCAATACACTGAGGGAATTTTCTGTCTTGGATGTTATATACAGTTTCTCCCAAAAGAAACATTTTATAGAGCATTTTAAAGTATTAAGGAAGGTGTATTCACATAACCCTGCCTGATAGTCACAGTTGGTAAATGGAAACAGGAAGATATTTATCAAGTGGTTTTCACAGCATTTCATCTAACTATATTGAAGTGAGAATATAGGAGCATCAGTGCTGAATCAGAAAACCTCTTAAGCACAGGCTTGAAGTTGAACTCTTGGCTATAGGGTTTATTACTGAAGAGAGTTTGGATTGCACTTCCTCTAGGATGATGGGAAAGATTTATTTCACAAGTTGTTAACTGTGATAATTATTACTATAGAGAGATGAGTTCAGCTTCCCTGTGCTTTGTGTTACATCTTTTTTAAATATAGCAAAACACCCCAGTGTATTGTTTGCCAGGAGATGCTCCCAAATGCGTTCATCGGGAGACAGTTGTACAATGGCTCTGCTCGTCATGGCCAGCACGGAGCAGGACCTGTGGAGCTGAGCCCACCTGGATGGGGCATGCATTTTGCTGACTGCGTGCTCATGGCACTCTTGTATTTGCTCATGCATTTTGCCAGTGTACATCATACCTGCCTGAAAGGCACATGATGTTGATGCGAGATGAGAAAAGCAGCAAAGCTGGAGAGCTGAAACAGTTGGGCTGTCCACCTCACTTTGTCTCAGAGATCACCACCCCTGGGGCAGTGGCTAAACCAGCTGCAAACCATTGCAGTTTGCAGCCTGGCATAGAAAAGAGGTGCAGATCCAGGTCTGGATGCGGCAATACCACTGGCTGCAGCCTGACACCCAGCGTGGGCGGCTTTGGCATGGGAACCTGTGGGAGCAGGGCTGCGGGGGCAGCAACTGGAGAAAAACTTTCTGTTTTAATTTGCTTTTGTTTGTGAGTCACTGCCCACAGCTCCTGCTGCTTTTACTTTCCTCCAGGAAGGCATTTGCACGGTTTTAACTGTGCTTGAATTAATGTAATTGTATAATCTGGTAGTGAGTAATCATGCAAATATCAAACTGTTGCAAATACATTCCTTCAGCTGGCTGTGTAGAGCAGTTTTGCTCTACATTTATTTGTCAGACATTGTTACTGGGTAAAATTCAACTATATATGCCATCTTCAGTTTCTCTGAACAGTTTCACGTGTGGGATCTGAACACATTTTATTACTTGGGAAGACACATGCCAAAACATAAATGTTAACTAATTAACTCACATAGAATGTTTAGCTTCTGTACAATTATTAATTCAGCAGCTGCTTTTGTCCCAACTGCAGCAGACTTTTTAAAGTTACTATTCTCTGTATATTATTTTTTTTTAAATTGTGATTCACTCTCAGATTTTGGGCAAACACAGGAAAAATTAAAATGTACATACCAAGCAAGACACCTCATTCTTTAGTATTGCATTTGACACATCTTAATACAGACTTCGGAGTTGAATAAAGATGAAGCATTTAGGGGAAAAACAGCTTCAGCAAGTGGCATACAGAATCTGTAACTTCTGCAGAGAGTTAGTGCGCCTGTTCTCTGAAAGATTCAGAAAATGGCTGTCACCTGCAGGATGCATGCATGGGAAAAGCTGGAAGCAATACATATGTCATCAGCATCCTGCTTATTCTTTCTATAAACATTTTGCAAGTGTTGTCATGAGCTCAGCTGTGCCCTGCCACCGCCATGGGCAGCAACGCCAAATTCCACTCAAGGCAAAGTGCAAACACTTATCTGTTTACACAATTTCCAACCCATAGTGAAACGCCAGAACAATTTACACATATTTTGGTTGACAGGGAGCATGTGATTTTTTAACTGGTGGTGTTACCTCCTCTCACGTAGATCTGTCTGTCACCAGCTTTATATTTATCTCTGGGTCTGGAAGCAGCCGAGGAATCTGAAAACCGAGGCCAGCACTGGATATTTGCAAGAGGATTACTCAGCAAATTATATCCCGCACCCCCCTGAAAATTCAGACTTGAAAGATGTTGCAGCATCCTTTACCCCCCTGCAATTACAGGCTTGTACCTTGATTGCAGAGGGGGTCAGGTGCAGAAGCTTAGAAGCAGCTTGACCTTTAGCAGAAACATTTGGGTTGCTGTTGGGGTGAGGTGCTGCCTTCCCTGATGTCTGCTTCTCCCCTTGCAGGAGAGTACTGTGAGGTGAACGCGCGCTCTGGCCGCTGCGCTCCGGGGGTCTGTAAGAACGGAGGAACCTGCGTGAACCTGCTCATCGGGGGCTTCAAGTGCGAGTGTCCTCCAGGCGAATACGAGCGGCCATACTGCGAGATGACCACCAGGAGCTTTCCCCCGCAGTCCTTCATCACCTTCAAGGGGCTGCGGCAGCGCTTCCACTTCACTGTCTCCCTCATGTAAGTCCCGGTGGGGGAGGGCTCTGTGGCTGGTGGCTTCTCTGCTTGAGCTTGGGACGTGTTTGTTAAATATTGTCACCAACCAGATTACCTATGTGTAGAGGTCACTCTGGGTATTTCTCACAGTGACTCCTGCGAGTGGGGCGCAGTCCTGTTGTTTGAAAGCGTTTGGTTTGTGCCCTGCTGAGGATGCCGCTGAGGTGCTAACTCCCAGCGTTCCTCTGCCGCAACGCGGGGCGATAGCGTGGGGACGGGGGATGCTAGAGCCTCCCTGGTCACCTCTCAGCAGCCCTTGGCCAGAGAGGCGTGAGGGTGGGTGGTGGGTTTGCCGCCTCTCAAGCATGTCGGGTGTTTTTCCAGTTGCGTCTGAGGCCTCCTGACTTCCAGGCGCACATTGCTAGTTCGTGTCTGGGAGCACTCGTCCCCTCTCCTGTTTCCTGGCCTGTGAGAGAACCTGGTCTCCTCAGGCCATGGCTGAGCACAGGCTGGTCCTCCCCAGGTCCTTGCTCTCCACTGGTTCCCAGCCTTGAGCTTCGGACAACCCCAACTGTCCCAGCTCCTCGCCTTGCTCCTCTTGGCCTTCACACCCGGCTCCTGCATCTGGCCTGGCTGCCAGGCACGACTGGCCTCATCCCCATCCCATCTGCCCTGGTGTCCCCATGCTGGACAGTCCTTCCCTGGGCTTGCTGCCGCTGTTCCCCCGAGGTCACTAGAGGAGCTCTTGGGGGAAGAGGAGCAATGGCGGCAGCTGCACTGTGTGGACCAGCGCTCTCCTCCCCTGGCTCCCACATCCTGGGGGAAAAAAACCTCTTCTGGGGAATCTTTTTTTGGGTCAGGCCATAGCATAGTGCTTGCCTGTCATGGAGCCAGAGCTCCAGATGCGCACGTGTCTTCTCCAGAGAGGGTGCAGGTTTGGAGCTTTCCCGTCATCTCTCAGGTCAGGATTGACCTTTGGTTCTCCCTCACAGTTGACTGTGAGTAAATAGCACAAAATGTGTTAGCCCTGACCCCAGAGGGCAGGGCCAGAGATTTGTTGATAGATACAACAACAGCAACAATGACAGGCATGTTTGTGTGTCTGTCCAGAGAAAGTGTTCAGGAAGGACACCACCAGGCACACGTCCCATCCAGCACCCAGAAGTTACCTGGTGTTCTACATCTGTCAGGAGATGGGCAGCTTCTTTCCGCTTTATCCTTCATCTGCCTTAATCCCAAGGTCTGAAATTTTATGGAATCTTGACATTTTGGTTAAATGAGAGAGCGCAGGCACTGTTTGGACACAAGCTGAGGCAGGGAGGAGATGCACCTGTGAAGATCGTTTTAGAGCATCAGATACAAGTGCACGGAAAAGCTGAGCAGCAAAAGGCTCTGTTGGACTTGTCAGACCTAAAGTGAGTGCAAACAAAGGAGCAGTCTGGGCTAACTGCCAGCATAAATCACTTGCACTACCGTTGGCTTGTCCCCACAGCCACATGGTGTCATTTTTCAGGCTTTCAGAAAGAGATCTTTGACGTGTAGGGTGCTTCAAGTTTAAGTGACTCAAATGCTCTATGTAGGGGTTATTGAGAAACAGCAAACTGCTGTAGCGAGGTAGTGCTTACACCAGGGTTTCTTCACCATCTTTAAAACCAAGTTGGCACATTTAGCCAGGAGCTAAACACTGCTCGGACCACTCAGTGTGATTATAAACAGTCTAGACCATCAGGTTCATCCCACACTGTCTTGGATAATGACACATTTAGTTTTTCATACCTGAAGTTCACTTTTCTTTACACTTGTTATTTCCTTGGGTTTTATTATCCTTCAGTACAGGTAGAAAACATTATGTGAGGATAAGCAAGAATTAGCAGTTTGAGAAGACGATGAATTGCCATTACATATTTTGTGATTTGGGAGCATTCCTGAAATCACAGGGTTTCTAGCTTCCCTCAGCCTTAAGTGACTCCTGACCCACTCCTGGCAGGATGTTTGCATTGTCCAGTCTCATAACTAAAATATGATTTGTTTAAAAAAAGTATTTAGATTACTGACCAGGCGTGACTTCTGCACCCAGCATTACACATCTTCCTTGCTTCCTTCCAACACTTGCTACTCCTTCACTCCAAGAGACACTGTGAGAGGTTTTCTCACTATTTATTAAAAACTCTCTTAGAAAGTGTCTTTTGTTTCCTATGTCCTGAGATTAAAAATATCCCTTCTGTAAAAAAACGGTATTTTTTCCCCAGCTGGTGATAACCAGACAAGTTCAAAAGCAGTAGTGCTTTAACTATTAGTATGATACAAAAGATGCTTTTGACTAGTGGCAAAGAATGGAACTGAACACACATGGAGTAAAGAAATGTAAAAAAAAAGCTTAATAATTTAATAGTTTAATAAATAATAGTTATATAATTAAAATTATGGTAACCGTATCAGAAAACTATATTCAAACAGAACTAATGTTCCTGTTGCTAATCAAACTAAGTCTTTCTGCTCTCTAAAAATGCATCATTAATAGTATTCTCATTTCTTTTGCTCATATGCATTCTGGATAGATCTGATCAAAATGTTTTGATGAAGCAGTTAAAAAAAAATGGAAAAATACAGTCTTGGGAAATGTTTTACAGGAACTGTGTTCCTTTGGATGAAATGTTTGATGGTGAAAAGTGAAAACTGAATCAGTGTTTTGATAATATTGAAGTATTTCAGTGGTATTGTCTTAATTTAATTTGCCTTTTAATTCTATAACATATTATGTTAAATGTTTTTATATTATGTTAAATAAATTTAGAAATAAAGATGTACTTCAAAGCTGATTAAAAGTAATCAAAACATAATATAATGTTTTTATGGTCTATAATGGATATTCTTTGGAGTTTGTATTTTATTGTAAATGTCAAAATTCTGACTTCTGTTTTTTAAGCCAGAACAATTCATTCTCCTTCAAAAATATTTAAAAATGTGTGAAAAAAAAAATCCCATTTCCATGTAGCTCACATTCAAGCTCCTGGTTCTGAAAGGTCTCTATGTGATGTGATCCACAAGATACATATGTCTGACAAACAACTTTTGTTTAAAAATATTCTTTGGTTTTGAAATTTTTTATTTCAAATACCAGACCTTGATGTTCTAAAATACGGCTTCTTTCACATTCTCTGAATGCAAGTTTTGTTGCATTGCATGAGAGTCTTGCTAGTAGACGTGACATGACAAGCGCAAGAATCATTTCTTCTGTTCGTGGAAGGCAGTTTTCATTAGCTGTGTTCAGCATTTGATTCATTTGTAGGAAAAGTGGGTTAATTTAAATCAGGCGTATTTCCTGAATTTCAAGATATGAAATCAAACTACACTGCCATTTGGAAACACAAGAAATTCTCGTGGTTTCTCTCTCTTTCTCTCTTTCTCACTTTAAATAATATTAATCTTTGTAAAAATGTTTATGTAACGTATAATAGTTTTTTTGCCTTTCTAGGGTAGATGAAAGCTGTGTTTAAATCCCCAAAGATCATAGGATTCAACTAAAAATTATAAAATACACACAACATGCATAAATTGTAAAAAAAAAGTTCTGTGCTGACAAAAACCCAGGCTTTTTTTTAAAAGTGGGGTTACCTCTTTTTCTGCAGGAAAGGTGTGATACATCCCATATTAGATTCACAAGAAAAATAAAACCAAAAAACACCCATTGGTGCTGATTTAGTGGAATCAATTAAGTGTTTATTTTCCTTCCTCCGATTGACTGACCTGCTGATTGATAAACCCAGATGGACTACATGTCATTATTAAAGTATCCCTTATCTTTCTTGCCTCCCCATCAGGTTTTTTTTAGTCAGTTGATGACTCCTTGTACCCTGTAGCATTTAGACAGCAAGCTAGCAGCAAGTATCCCCCCTTTGATGTGACCATGCTTTCTAGCTTTCAGATTGCTTGCAAAGTGTAGTAAGTGCTACTGTTTGTCAAGTGTCAGATACTCACACTGCATTGTGTGTCTGCCTATTTTACCCCTTGTAAGGATCAGCATCCACACCAGGTCTCTGCAGAGAAGATTTCTGTAATTTCCTTCTTGCTTGCTTCTGTCGATTGTGAAAGGGTAGATTTATCCTGTGGCTGACTCCTAATTTTATAATTTTCTGTCTGAAGAAAGATTCAAAGGCTTGCTTTACTGCTAAATACAATGCCATCTTTCTTTTGAGCGACTTGACCGTCAGTCTTTAATTCATAAGCCGTTAAGCATGAACTAACCCTTCATCTCTGCATTCTAGGTTTGCAACCAGGGAGAGGAACGCTCTCCTTCTCTACAACGGTCGTTTTAACGAGAAGCACGATTTCATTGCCTTGGAGATCATTGAGGAGCAGATCCAGCTCACGTTCTCTGCAGGTGAGGTCTCTCTTGAGTGGAGCATTTCAGCTTGTGGTCAGGAGATTCTCTCAAGCTGTTTGGAAGTGCACTTTAATGATTTCATATTGCTATTTGCCGCCTCTTTAATTGAGTAACTGGCTGACATTGTACAGGGAAAAGCTGATGCCAGGCATTGCAAAGTACTCCAGATTGTAACGGTTTGTGGTGGTAGCGCTCGCTGTCGCAGGCAGGAGCTCATCGACATATCAGTTATAAAAGCCAGAGTTTATGGCTACTATAAAAGATTGGCACTAGCCTGAAAGTTGGCCTGCGAGCCAATGTTTACTAAAACAAGACTGAGTTTTATCACGCTGTGATAAACGTCGTGCGTTTATGCATTTTTACACTAGGCCATCAGTGAAACTAGGTGCGTAAACGTTATCTAAAAAATACACACAAGCCAAAGGAAAAGCTAGCAGACAAGTGAAAACTACCTGCCGTTCGGTACGGATTGGTGAGGAGCAGTGCTGTCGCTGGAATCCACTGCTGCGCATTAGAAGCATGTCCCCTTGAAGAAACTGTAACCCACAAGGTATTTAGGAGAACTAAGCTGCCTGCTCATTGCTACGGTGGGCTAGGAAATGAGAAACGGAGGCTTTGGCGTTTGCTTGCTTCTGCACTAGGACAAAGCCAGGTTCTTTGGATGTTTGTGGGAACAGAGAGAGGGAAAGACAAGTGAAACTCAGGGTGGCTTGTATCCCTGCCACCGTGGCCTTTTCCCAGGGGAGAGGTTTCCTACAGAAAATCAGCCCTCGAAGTAGCAAAGTTCTTCCTGATGACAGTATGATCAGAGCAAACCCTGACTGGTCCAAGCCTCAGCAGAGGGGTGCTTCCTGAGTTAAAAAAGACCATGTTTCATCCAAAAACTCATGCCCAGTTGTGCTAATTTCATGACAGGGGTAGAAGGTGAAGCTGTTAGCATGCAGCTGTACAGTGTGGTTGGAGCACATTTGAAGCCGCCAGTATAATCATCCCCTGGACTTCAGCAGGCTTGCTGAGGCTCTTGGTAGACTTCTTGGTGGACCACTTGTGTTCCTGCTTCAGCCCAGAAGTGGGTCTGTGAGTTCAATGGGAAGGCTTCGGTGGCTTTACTAAACCTCATCAGGGCAGACAACCTCTTGTCACAGGTTTAGAGGATGTTTTCCATTGGGACAGAAACAAACATCTGGGAAGGGCTGTTGTCATGTAGGTCAAGTGGGGTTATGTGTAGGTCAAGTGAGATGTTTGTACCTCTGTACCAGGCACATAACTCAGGAAATAACCCTGTTATTTCCTGTTAGCTGTATTCAGGATAGACATGTGGGCTCTAGTCAACTGTTATTTTATTTTAGTGGAAAGTGAGACAACTGTAATCAGTAAAACAGTAGAAGCAGAGGTGCAACACACATCTTTGTTACACAGTCATCGCCAGTGACGGCCACAGCCTTCAGAACCCATGGTAAAGCTGTGTGACCCCATCGATTTACCAGCAATGCTTAAGTGCATATGTGGGCCCACTGGGTTGAAGATATCCGGTTTCATTATTACCTCGAAGTTGTCCAAATTAGATATTAAGGCAAGCCTTTGAATGGATTAGTGTAATGAAATAACATGCTGCAGTCAGAGAGATGTGCTTTCTTCTATAGCTCTGCTCCGCCTGTCTAAACTTGAATCAAATTGCTTGAAAGTCACCCTGAGGATGAATGAGGGGAAAAAAAGAAATCTGTGTGCACTTACATGCATTTAAATGTGGAGGAACTCTTTTAAAATACATGAAACTAAATTTAGATTTGCACTGCTGCACCTGAGAGCAGGTCTGGTCCTGTATATTGTAAATGGTATTTTCTTTGGAAGGAGAATGGTTTATGTTGTATAGTTTTAAGTGGCTTTTAACGAACAGTAAAAGTTTTGGACATCTGATCTGACTGTTTTACCTCTCGCAACAACTTTTTCACAGAAAGGAAACCAAAGGGATTGCAGACTGGTCATCTTCCTTTTGCAGAAACTTGCTATCTGAATAAAAAGCCAAATTTTTACCATAGTTTTTTTTAATCACTAAATGATAAAAAACATCACAGCAAGATGTCAAAAATGCTAAGCTGAAATCCGTATTGTTTAAATACCAGCAGTATATAGAATGGGAGTTAAAGGAAAGTAGGGAACACAGGAATATTACTTCACACAGGGTGAAGTATTTGTTGCAAACAGAGAGTAGAAAGTACATTTTAAGTTCAGTGATACTGTGAACTTTGTTAGCTTGCAGGAGAGAGCTGTTTTTCCTGTGGTTTATCATGTAGAATTTTCCAACTGTTTAAAAAAAAAAAAAAAAACCACACACACAAAAAAACCCCAAAAACCAACAAGGAAAAAGAAGAAAAAAAAAAGTCAAAACCTAGCAATGCCTTCTCCTTTCCAGGCCTTTTATGTACTTTCAACATGAATGTTTATTTTGCTGCTACCTTGGAACAGATATGTGTGGTTACTGAGCTGGTTCTGCTGACTCAGACCTGACTTTAAAACTTCAGCTTTCCGGTTCCAATGGCAAGGACTTGCTTTCAAATTTAAATACTGAAAGGCCACCAATAATTTAATTAATCACTGGTGAAATTTTGCTGGGACCAAGGTTACTGTCCATGGGTTTTATACTGGAGTACTTCTGTATTTCACTTTCTCAGCTCTGATGAGGAGTAGGCTTCCCTTCCCTGACTAAAATATCCCGGCACAATACTTACCATATTAAAAAAAAACTCCAGTGCTGCTTTGGGCAGAAATGCAGAAAAATTCATGCACCTTTTTTCCTCAGTTGACCACTTCAGCAGTAGCTCTATTTACACAATGTATCTGCTACCATACTCTGCAGAAGTATAATAAAAAATAACAGAATTCACCTGAATGTGCCAGAAGCTATTTTTGTATTTGTGCACCAGAGTAATTCCATGAAACTGGGGATATTTACTGTCTTGCAGGATGAAAACCCAAATTCCTCCATAATGAAGTAAGATGACTGCATCCTGTGCCCGATGAGGGTCTCTGTGTGTTTCAGTTTAGTGCAGAGCAGAGTTTGCAGTGATGTTGACTTATTTTTTCCCTTCTGCCTGCCCTTGCAGGGGAGACAACCACTACAGTGGCACCGTTCGTTCCAGGAGGGGTCAGTGATGGGCAGTGGCACTCGGTCCAGGTGCAGTACTACAATAAGGTAAGTGAGCTGGTGATAACCCTATTATTTGTAAAGTAATGGATGCGTGGGTCATCTAGCTCTGACCCGATGTGTGCAGGTGACCTGAACTTTGCTTATTTAACCAGGCACATTGCTACCGCTCTGCACAAATGGTACTGGTCTTGCTCACCTTGCCTGGTACAAAAATTCCCTCTGACGGCTTTTGAGTTTTGTCTCAGGAAGTCAAAATCAGACCTAGTACGTCCTTTTCAGAAGTACTACCAGCGAAACCTTCAGGTTCTTGGAACTGTTTTAATTTTCCAGTTCTCTAAACCCCCACGAGTGTTAGTGTATCTAAAACAACTGATTCACTGATTTGGATCTTTTTTAAAAATTCGTGCAGGAGCCTTCAACTACAAACCACTAGTGTAGAATTTTTTTAAGCAAAGCAAAATTCTTCCCTATAACTGTACCCCTTGTGTAAAATTACCAGTTTAGCTAGTGCAAGCTTCTCTCATTTGGAAAATTTGGTTATTAAATGGTTGATACTTTTCAGTAATCAAGCGCTGTCTTACTAAATCATTTTTGTGTCTGCTATATAAAAAGATAACCAAGAGAAATGCAAAAATGCATCGTTCCATGCAGTCCATGGCACTCAGATGTGGGCTCCAGCATCCCTGTCCCACAGCTGCACCCTTGGTAGCTGTCAAGAGCAGGTTCACTTCAGCCGAACCAAAGGCAGAGGCTCTGTGCAAACCATCCGTTTTGTGAAGAAACAAAAAGCAGGCTTTTAGGGTGTAAAGTGTCACTGTTTACAGATAGAAGTCAGAGCTCTTCTATAATCTATAACAAAAATTAGAGAATTCATTTAGTTACTGAGAAACATTGCTTTTAAGTCTGACATGATAGCATTATGGGGGATTGAGTAAGGAAATAGAGGAGCATTGTTGGCTGTTAAAAAGGAAACAGGATACTGGGGTAGGAAGCTGAATGGAAGATGAGGGATTAATATGATCAGCAAGTTCTTTATTACCCCACACTGCATCATTTCATCACAGTTTGTGTGGCGGTTTGAATGGGAGGATTAAAATTTTCTTTAGACTCCTAGATAGGGTCTCCTAGCCTAAGGATATTTTATTGAGGAAATAAAAACCTTTTTTAGTAGTTCCCTTATTAAAAAAAAAAAAAAAACCCACACTCATTTTATAAGTTTAGCACTTTATGTACTTAATATACTCTCTGCTGTCTGGAACACAGACAAATAGAAGCAAAACTTGGTGTGTTACCATGCATGCAACTGTGGACACTGCAAGGCTCATCCTTATAAACTGCAACTGCCATGTTTCCGTAGTCTGCATATTTCTTAGTGAATCACTTTAGCAGAGTAAGTGGCACTTGCTGAGGCAGTGGAGGGACACTCCAGCTTTCAAGCTCCTCGGTGGATGAGGGAGAGAGAGCACAGCTGCGGAGGGAGCCGCTGGGGGGG